AATAAATAAATAAATAAATAAATAAATAAATAAATAAATAAATAAATAAATAAATAAATAAATAAATAAATAAATAAATAAATAAATAAATAAATAAATAAATAAATAAATAAATAAATAAATAAATAAATAAATAAATAAATAAATAAATAAATAAATAAATAAATAAATAAATAAATAAATAAATAAATAAATAAATAAATAAATAAATAAATAAATAAATAAATAAATAAATAAATAAATAAATAAATAAATAAATAAATAAATAAATAAATAAATAAATAAATAAATAAATAAATAAATAAATAAATAAATAAATAAATAAATAAATAAATAAATAAATAAATAAATAAATAAATAAATAAATAAATAAATAAATAAATAAATAAATAAATAAATAAATAAATAAATAAATAAATAAATAAATAAATAAATAAATAAATAAATAAATAAATAAATTGGCTTCCATTTTTATGGCGGTATAACTTTACAAATAAATTTTACATATAGCATGCCAGGATTTCCATATCTCAATTTCATTACATAAGAAAGAAAATACAATTATTTTCCAACAATAAAAAGGTGGTTTAATTTCTCCCCTTGGCAATTGCAAAATGACAAACACACACACACACACACACACACACACACACACACATTAAATAAAGAGAGAAAATTTAGTTGATATCTAAAAAATACCAAAGGTCAGTTTGCCTTTATAACAAGAAGCTATCAAAAATGTTCCCCAAAGAATAGCAGAGTGAAGATAACTAGCAGACTAGAACAAATTTTTTAAACCAAAATAAGAAACAATTAGTATCACGTGTTACTACCTGAGCTCCGGTTGCTATTTCATCGGCAGCTTCATTCATTACTCCCAGGGTTTGAAAAGCAAATACACACAGCTCTCGTTCACACACAGTAGGCTACAAAAGAAAGGGGAATCAATTATAACATTTTTTCCATCTTTCAATTCTTAAGTTACATTTATGATATTCCATATAAGAAGTATAAAATGCAGAGTTTTATAGTGTTAAAAGAAAAAGGAAATCATTTAAGAAATGATCTATTTCAGTTAGTTTTAGGCACTTGCACTCACAGCAATATAGCAATAGATGAAAATATCCTTAAATACAAAAATCCATCTCTCTGGCTTAATATACATTTGCACACGAGATGTATATATAAAAAAGTAAATACCTAAGCAGATGATATAATTGAAAATAAGGTTAAATACAAAAGCTGTATAATATAAAACAAATATACAAAGGGGAATTCCACTTTTTCTTATGAAATTTTGTTTGGAAGCAGTAAGCATAACTGCTTACTTGCTACCCAGCTCTTGAAAGATTGGTTTTGTTGCAAAGACTTTTGACTTCAATAACCTCCTGAAGTCAACTGCACTGAAATATGCACTCTGCAATTACTTTGGAAAAGCTCTCATCTTTCACATCTAATATAGTGTCATCCCTTTGATTTATCTTATCTCCCAAGTTACATTGCATTAGGTAGCTGATGAAGCCTAACACGATGCTATCCACGGTGCCTCTGCACAGCAGACAAAAGGCATTTGTTAGTGCCACTGCCCCTGTGCTCACTTCTTTCAGAGGCCAACTTGGTCTACTGTTTATCCAGCGGGGAAGTACAGCCCCATTCTGAACATCCTTTATGTTCGGAATGAGCCCATAAGTGTGGCTTTATGGATAGAAAGCCTAACTAATCAAAAAGATTTCTGGTTGACTTTCCTCCAAAAGAATTTTAGAAAAAAATGAATTGATATATTTCCTTTGTCACCGTTAAAAGTGCAGTTTGATTCCATTTTGGAAAATTCAGAACCATGGGAGAAAATTAATTGGAAAAAGTTCTTCATCCAGACTCAAGCTATACACACTGCTATATATATTGGAATATTCATAGAACAGATTTCAATTTCTACTACTCTTCCTGTTATGTGAGTGTTTAACTTAATCTTCTTCCATTTTTTGAATGTATCTTTGTGTATATATGTTTCACCCTCAATTTCCCTCATTGACATCAGAATGTTTCTTCTCTTCACTTTCTGGGGATTAGAGCAAGACATGGTCTGAATATAACAGTAGCAAGCATTTACCACATATTTCCTATAGTGTCAAATGCAATATCGGTATTTGAATACAATGAAACTGTACACAAACAGGAATCCAGGGAGAAGATAAACCTTGGAAATCATAAAGGGCCCTTGGAATATATCCATGTACCAACTACCCAAAGTTCACTGGGGAAGTAAACAGTGACATAGAAGGTACTTTGTTTTTAATAACACTCTTGTCAAATACCTATCACTTTTTTATGATTAAAATCCATCAACCCCAAAGCTAAACAATAGACTAAAACTCATTTAGTGAAATAAGTAATGATTAGATTTTATTTGAACCTTGGACAATCAAATACACTTACTTTGTGATCTTCTAAATATGTATGGATATAAGCATGTATGTGTGTGTGTGTGTATATATATGTGCGTACACACACACAGCCTGGGAAATATAACAATAGAAACTTCCTCCTCAATACCAAATTGTTTTAAACAGAAATAAAATGAAATAAAATACCTCACTACACTAGATTGGAAAGTTAATATAAAAAAATTTTAATATAGGAAAAATTTCAAAGACTTAAGGAAGAATATGACAGACACAGTTATACTTACACATGTCTATAAGCACACTTTGTTACCAATTCCAGATATTCATATGCCATCTTGACTTTGTCTCAAATGAATTTTTGCAACTTCACCGAGACCTCCCTATTCTCTATCTCAGGTAACAAATAAGCAAAATTTCAGTGCTTTCTGTAATGCTTTTTTCTGCATTTGTTTTGTCTTCCTCCCAGACCTGTTTATATTCAAACCTCTGAAGCTCCAAATCTCGTAGACTTGCCAAGTGACCCAATATTTTAAATAATAAACTCGCATTCCTAATGATAAAACTAGGACTTGATTTCTTTATGGACACTTCTTTTCTTTCTTGCATGTTTTTGGTTGAAAAGTAACCCTTCTTCCTAAACACAAATCTGCAAGGTTGATTTCTAGAAATATCTTGTTACTACTACAACAGTTTGAAGGAGGAAATCAGGCAGAAATCAGGTAACCTAGAAAATCTGCTTTTTGGAAACGAAAAAGAAAATATTTTGTCATCATACTGAAAAAGTAAAAGTATACATTATATTCTTATAAAGATAGTTTTATCTTCCCTTCTTTTTAGCATAGCCACTACAGAGACAATAATATTATGACTAATTTATACAACATGCTAACACCATACTAAGTAAATGCCAGTGAATTTTTTAAATAACAATTCTGTATCTTTTGCTCATTTTTACTATAAAGTTTAAGGGGTATTCAAAATGTAAGATGTAAGTCAGTTTAATTTTAAGATAAATATTTGTATATTTGTAGTATTCTTATTTTTTTAGATAGTAATCCATTCATTTGAAAGAAGTTCAAAATTTCAACACAAGATGGCGCTCTAAAAGAAAATTCTCAAATTATATTAGATGATCAGGATTAAGTGTCGTTTTGCTCACAGACCAGACATCCTATTCAAGGAAGAGAAAAGGAATCACTCTTCCTTAATGAAACATAAGTAGTTATATTGTGGATCAGCCTTCTCCCACCTTGAACTAATTCCCACCCTGACAAATTCTGCTAATACTATGTTATTTACACTGAAAATGCTAGCATCAATTCAAAATAGTAATAGTCATTTAAGGGCTATTACTAGATAAGTGTAATGACGTGTTTTATTACACATACTTTAATATAAAGTGTGTATGCCTAAATATAACCAAGTGTGTATATTATTTATTAATTCATTTTGAGTTTACAATAAGGCTATCAGTATCAATGTGTAAAGTATTACCTATTCTTAATATTATATTATTATATTGGCTTGAAGCAGTTAATCCCTATAATTTAGACTGTAAAGTCATAGCAACTCCCTCTATTATAAACATATACATAATATATTTGCTATACAGAATTCATTATGCACCATTTAAAAGCACTGGGAACTTTTATATATGTACCTAAGACACAATTTGTTTTAGAAATTTTCAGCTACAATGAATACATTTGTAATTGTATTTAAATCAAAGCAATTTAAACATGAGCAATAAAAACATATTTGAAAAAATGTTTTTAAGCCCTAAGGACTATTTTAGGATTTAATGTATTTTAGAAAATTTGTTTTCAATGAACTTAAATTATCGTTTACCAAAAACGGAAAACATATAACTAGTAAATCTAGCTATGTATTTATGTAGAGATAAGCATGGGGAAGATGAGTGGTTTTCAAACATTTCTGCCATGTTCTTTTTATTCAAAGAAATATTTCATGTAAGCCCAATACATAAAACAGATGATGAAGCTTGTTCCACTTGGATCACAAGTGTGTAGTTCAGTTTTACTATCTGTATAATGGGAATAAAAATTACATCTAGCTCCACAAGTTGACAAGAGGACCAAATGAGATAAGGTTTATCAGATCTTGAGGTACAGAGAGCTGTTTAAATATTAACAATATAACCTGAAGAAGCTGTCTCTACTAATTGCTTTAACTCAATGTGTATATAAAGACATGTATTTAATAAAAAATTATTTTCTTTGGAGCATATTATAAAGTGTATTTTCATTTGCAAATCCAGTTTTTTAAAAGTCTTATTACAGTGTAAAGATGAACTACTGAATTTAAAAACTGGTGTTGAAAAAATATGAGAATAATTCCAAAAATATCTTCTAGAACCATAAAATCTACAAGCCTTTAATTCTCTGTATTTCCAGTTTTACAGTCAATGCTCTGGGTTCTTTTCATGATCAAGAGACACAATCATGCCAGGGGAAGGTTTACTATCCATGAAGAAAGACAAATCACACAGGGATCAAGGCAGATCCACAGTAAGGTGGGATCACGCCTAATTAGGTGTGAATACACTGGTCCCTATTTGTTTCATATGAGGGTACTACAAAAAGTTCATGAAAAAATAGAATTAAAAGATAATACAATCTTCCATGAACTTTTGAAGTAGACTTGTATAACTAAAGATGTTTGAGCATTAAAACCAATTTCTACTCAGTTTAGATCATGTTTTTGAACTAAAAATCATGTTTTGAACTAAAAGTTTTTTTGGCATAATTATTATTCCAGTTTACCTCGTGTTTCACAACTTGAAATCTGAACTTCCATGACTGGGGGGTGGGGGGTATGTTACTACGACATGCCTTTTCATCCATTCTTCAAATATTAAAATCAGACCTAAATATGAGAAGATCTACCTGTTTTACTCTTAGATTGTAAAATGAGACATACCCAGGTTTACCCCCATGCTCAGTTTTCTCATGACTTTTCATAGGAATGCCTTAAACTATGACCAAATTATAACTGGTTGTTGCTTATTTCACTCAGAAAATAAGAAACTGAGTTATAAACTCTGTTTAAGGTTCACAGCAAGGCTGGATACACAAAAAAATAGATTCTCAGGTTTTTCAGTTGACTTTGCTTCAGTAGGATTGGGCATTCCTCTCAAACGGGTGACTGACATGTGCAAGCATATTTGGGAATCATCAGATCCAATCTCCTGCCCAATCAAACCGCCCAAAAATAGATTCTCAGGTTTTTCAGTTGACTTTGCTTCAGTAGGATTGGGCATTCCTCTCAAATGGGTGACTGACATGTGCAAGCATATTTGGGAATCAGCAGATCCAATCTCCTGCCCAATCAAACCGCCCAGAGCAAGTAATCCAGGACACTGTCACATGGCAGAAAAGAATGAGATCATAGTTCTCATAACATATGTTGATGTGGGAAATGATAAAGTCTATTATCCTGGAACACACAGAATGATTGCCAAGTATCAATAACAGAAGTCCGGCTTTATTAGGGACGCTAAT